TAAAACAGCCTGAAATAGTAAAACAGCCTGAAATAGTAAAACAGCCTGAAATAGTAAAACAGCCTGAAATAGTAAAATGCCATGAAATAAAAAGGGAATTCAAAATAAAAGTCCCTGAAATGTGTAAAGTAGCTTTACAAAATAAAAGTGGCGCAAAATAAAACTACAAAATGAAATAAATAACTAATATAAAGACATGCTAAAAATGTATTATAATATATTAATTTTTTTCATAGGGACATTTATTTGGTGGAATATTTATCAATACTTTATTAATTACATTATTTATTTATTTATTTATTTCATTAGTTATTTATTTGTTGTATTTTGAATAAAATGGCTCCATATAATATGAGTGCCTGATTCTGTGATGATAAAATTGAGAGGCAAATTCAGGAATGTATAAAGAAAACCCATGTGGTGTTTATATCACAGACATAAGTCAAACAGTCCCATTGGTATGCCTGGTTGGTTTAATGGAAATTGCAAATCATTTTAATGATGTATCCCAGTAATKAAATGCCATCAATAATATTTTTTAATGAGCTTTTAAACAACAAACTGTGACAAAATGTCACAATTTATTTACATATGAAACTAGATGCAGGCATTTATGAACTTCTACTTTTAAATTGTATTTAGGTRTATTTTTGCCTTGACTCTTAAATGTTCCCCTGCAATGATCGAATGTCAATACAGAATCAGTATAAAGAAACTTTTTTCTCCCACATTTTGTAAGCTTTTATGTCTTGCTTTCCTAAATTATTGTGAGCTGACCCCCAACTACAATGGTGATACTACATGATGTCATCAGCAGGCAGGAGTCAACACACCCTGATGTGTTCATTCTGGTTGGAGAGTTTAAGCACTGTAGCCTCAGGACTGTTCCCCAAWTACCACAGGCACATTGACTTTGCTACAAGAAAATAATTACTTTGGAACAAGTATACAGCAGTTTTAAGGATGCCTATAGGTTGTACCCCAACTCCACTTGGGTCAGACCATTGATCAGTTTTTCTGTAACCAGCATACAGACAGCACCTGAATCATTTCCCTCTTGAGAAGCAGAACTGTTAAAGTATGTAATGAAGAATCTGACAGAGCTGGTGTCAAGAGAACAATGGGCCTCATGCAAGAAYGGTTCRTACGCACAGATTTGTTCTTAAATTGTGCGTACGAGTGATTTAGGAGAATTTGTGGCATTCACCAATGTTTTCGTATTCTAAGATTTTGACGGTGCGCAGCGCTGTGGCTTCTGAATACATGAAAATGATTTAACACAGTTATTTATACTTTTAGCAGCTCTTTTTATTCCACAGCTGACCTGCTAAAAATGACAGATTTTCTTTTCTGGATCTCTGACAGACGGACTTCAATCTCTGAACTCGTAAAGTTTTTCTTTTAAGTTTTCGCTGTTATTTTCATGAATGGACACTTCCTGATATCTGAGGCAGGAATCATAGCCTTATATGGTGTTTTTGGGGTGGTAATTATGCTAATCTCCTCTCGCGTGCACGAGCAGCTGGATAGAACAGGTGTAATTTACGCAGCTCATTTACGCACGTTTCCTGAAGATAGAAGTGTTTGTTGAATCTGACGTGACATGTTCGTACGAACCCTTTGTACGAACAAAAGTAAGAGAAATTTAGGATAAAAATACGAACATGTTCTTGCATGAGGCCCAATCTCTCTTTAAACATCACGAACACCGAGGAGATGCTCATTGAGCACAGACGGAGAAGGAAGGAGCAATACATTCCYTTAACATCAGAAGGACCAAACAAACACCAGCTTTCTCAGCAAACCAATTCTTCTTTTTCCAAAAACTTGAGACTTGTTTTTACACAYGTCAGTTTGGATTATGGCAGAAACAAATCTAGTTGAAGACATAAATGTTGTAGTTAATCATTCGTTGTGCTTTACAGGAGTGTTATGTCCACAACCTTCTGAGAGTGACGATGTACATACCATCAATTCGCAGAGATGTGTTGGAGCTGGTTGTAGGAAAGTTGCTCAAACTGGATGTAAGTGGTACATCTGTCAGTCATTGATAATTGTTGCAARAAAACTGTGATTTCAAACATCTTCCTATTTTACTCTTTTTTTAACCTAAACAACTGYTTTTCTTGTTATTTTCATTGGTCTGTGTACGATACATGATAACTTCCAGTAGAAAGTGTTTGACTCCTGTTGTTTACTTCATTCTTCAGGTGAGTGCATCTCGGACAGCTATAATGGAGGCAGAGGAGATCGCAGCTCAGGGTCAGGAGGCAAATGAGCATCTGGAAGAGGGACTCTTTGACATGGTACCAGTCAGACAGTTTTTTGTTTTAGTGTTCAAACAAGGATTGTTAAGGTAGTTTCAAAGATCACAGTAGAGCCGTGTTGTTTTATACTGTGCACAATACCCCCAGTAAACAGTAAATTATCTTAAATTGACTAGTTTTCCGTTCATCTAAAAAGCACATTTTCTTCCAACAAGAAAAATCAACAATTTTATTTTAGTTCATTTTATTTTTAACTGTCAATTTTGGCCTTTTTAATTTACCACCAAATAAATTATAAACAAAACTTGAAACTTAAGTAAAAAATAGAGATTTAGAGTGCTATTTGCAGCATGTCAAACAATGCACTGATAACAACAGTGTTGTAGGCTCTGATACTGTGTGCCTGTCCTCACACTTGTGATTGATATCCCAGTACATATATCACTTTAATGCAGTTTGATATTCTCCTTTCAGCTGTAGGAGGAGAGCAAGTAGGGTAGTTTTTTATTACCTATATAAGACAAAAAAAGAATTACAAATTTCCTGAAATTTCTTTTTGGCTTTTGGTTTTGGTGTGCCCTTTCAGGAATTTTAGTCGCCCCACATGACCACCTCATTAATACATTTCTAGAGGTGCCACTGCCCGTGGATAATGATAGGAGAAATGCTGAGGCCAAAGAAAACACATTATTGATATAAGTAATTACAACAACCAACATGCAGAGGAGAGTGACTAAAGACAGCAGAGTGAGGAAATGTGCTCAGTTTGTGCTCCAGCAGTCTTAAGTCTATAGCAGCAGAAATGAAGAATTCAGGAAACCTAAGTCTAACTATAGGATTTATCAAAAAGGAAAGTCTTCAGTCTAATCTTAAAAGTAGACAGAGTGTCAGCCTCACAGACAGAAACTGGAAGTTGGTTCCACAAGAGAGGAGCTTGATAACTGAAAGCTCTGCCTCCCATTCTACTTTTAGAAACTCCAGGAACCACAAGTAAACCTGCAGTCTGAGAGTGACGTGCTCTGTTAGGAAAGTATGGAACAATAAGATGTTTAATATAAGATGAAGCTTGGTTGTTGAAAGCTTTAGACTCACTTTAGACTTTCAGACTGTGAGGCCATGTTTACACAACACTATTTTTAAGTAAAACCACACTTTAGTTGCATTTTGTCTGCTTTTATAGTCAAGAACAGCAGCCATTTTCTTGGACATTTAATRTTTTGAATCCAGGTCTGAGAGTGGAGGGATTAAAACCCCTCTTATTGTGTGTGTGTTTCTGGAAGGATGAGGACATGTCGACAGACCAGCCAACCAGTACKTGTGTGATGGCCCATCCTGTGGCTCAGAGGCTGGACACACTCATGGCTGTGCTCATGGCGTACATCAAAGACGTCTGTCATGTGGACGGTACAGGAATCATACATTTTTTTTTGTTTAACACTCAGCTTTCACTTGACACAACCATCATAAAGCTGAATCAACAATTTTACACCAGATGGAGTATTGTTTCTTGTGAACCCTGTTTAGATTATCTGCTTTTTCCAAGGGCCATATCTATTTGGACACTGACACAAAGTTTGCTTTTTTGCCTATTTACTAAAATATAATCAAGTTGTAGTTAGTTATATAAAGGATACAAAGTCCAGAATTGCAGCTTTCATTTGAGGGTATCCACATTCAAATTGGATGAGTTTAGGATTTCAGCTCCTTAACATCTGTCCACCCTGTTTTTAAARGGAACAAAAGTAATTGGACAATTGACTCCAAGGCTATTTCATGGACAGTTGTGGGCAATCCCTTCGTTATGTCATTCTCAATGAARCAGACRAAAGGCCTGGAGTTGATTTGAGGTGTGGTGCTTGCATTTGGAAGGTTTTGCTGTGAAGTAAACATGTGGTCAAAGAAGCTCTCCATGCAGGTGAAACAAGCCATCCTTAAGATGCAAAAACAGAAAAAACCCATCTGAGAAATTTCTACAATATTAGGAGAGGAAAAATCTACAGTTTGGTTCATCCTGAGAAAGAAAGAAAGCACTGGTGAACTCATCAATGCAAAAAGACCTGGGCGTCCACAGAAGACAACAGTGGTGGATGACAGACAGAATAATCTCCACGGTGAAGAGAAACGCCTTCACAACAGCCAACCAAGTGAACAACACTCTCCAGGAGGTAGAAGTATCAATATCCAAATCTACCATAAAGAGAAGACTGCATGAAAGTAAATACAGAGGGTTCACTGCACGCTGCAAGACACTCATAAGCATCAAGAATAAAAAGGCTAGACTGGACTTTGCTAAAAAACATCTAAAAAAGCCAGCAGAGTTCTGGAAGAACATTTTTTGGACAGATGAACCAAGATCAACCTCTACCAGAATGATGGAAAGAGAAAAGTACAGGTCCTTCTCAAAAAATTAGCATATTGTGATAAAGTTCATTATTTTCTGTAATTACTGATAAACATTAAACCTTCATATATTTTAGATTCATTGCACACCAACTGAAGTGGTTCAAGCCTTTTATTGTTTAAATATTGTAGATTTTGGCAAAAAAGTAAAGGAATATCAAAAATCCCTATCTCAAAAAATTWGCATATCATGAAAAGTTTCTCTAAACGACTTATTAACCTAATCATCTGAATCAACAAATTAACTCTAAACACCTGCAAAAGATTCCTGAGGCTTTTAAAAACTCCCAGCCTGGTTCATTACTCAAAACCACAATCATGGGTAAGACTGCTGACCTGACTGCTGTCCAGAAGGCCATCACTGACACCCTCAAGCAAGAGGGTAAGACACAGAAAGACATTTCTGAACCAATAGGCTGTTCCCAGAGTGCTGTATCAAGGCACCTCAGTGGGAAGTCTGTGGGAWGGAAAAAGTGTGGCAGAAAACGCTGCACAAAGAGAAGAGGTGACCGGACCCTGAGGAAGATTGTGGAGCTGGGCTGATTCCAGACCTTGGGGGACCTGCAGACGCGGTGGACTGAGACTGGAGTACAAACTTCCAGAGCCACCGTGCACAGGTGTGAGCAGGAAATGGGCTACAGGTGCCTCATTCCCCAGGTCAAGACACTTTTGACCCAGAAACAGCAGCAGATGTGCCTGACCTGGGCTACAGAGAAGCAGCACTGGACTGTTGCTCAGTGGTCCAAAGTACTTTTTTCAGATGAAAGYAAATTTTGCATGTCATTCAGAAATCAAGGATCCAGAGTCTGGAGGAAGACTGGGGAGAAGGAAATGCCAAAATGCCTGAAGTCCAGTGTCAAGTACCCACAGTCAGTGATGGTCTGGGGTCCATGTCAGCTGCTGGTGTTGGTCCACTGTGTTTTATCAAGGCCAGGGTCAATGCAGCTAGCTTTCAGATTTTGGAGMACTTCATGCTTCCATCTGCTGAAAAGCTTTATGGAGATGAAGATTTCATTTTTCAGCACGACCTGGCACCTGCTCACAGTGCCAAAACCACTGGTAAATGGTTTACTGACCATGGTATTACTGTGCTCAATTGGCCTGCCAACTCTCCTGACCTGAACCCCAGAGAGAATCTGTGGGATRTTGTGAAGAGAAAGTTGAGAGACMCAARACCCAACACTCTGGATGAGCTTAAGACACAAGACCCAACACTCTGGATGAGCTTAAGGCTGCTATCGAAGCATCCTGGGCCTCCATAGCACCTCAGCAGTGCCACAGGCTGATTGCCTCCATGCCACGCCGCATTGAAGCAGTCATTTCTGCAAAATGATTCCCAACCAAGTATTGAGTGCATAACTGAACATAATTATTTGAAGGTTGACTTTTTTGTATTAAAAACACTTTTCTTTTATTGGTCAGATGAAATATGCTAATTTTTTGAGATAGGGATTTTTGATTTTTCTTTACTTTTTTGCCAAAATCATCAATATTAAAACAATAAAGGGCTTGAACTACTTCAGTTGGTGTGCAATGAATCTAAAATATATGAAAGTTTAATGTTTATCAGTACGTTACAGAAAATAATGAACTTTATCACAATATCCTAATTTTTTGAGAAGGACCTGTGTGGTGAAGGYGTGGTACAGCTCATGATCCAAAGCATACCACATCATCTGTAAAACACAGCAGAACAGTGTGATGGCTTGGGCATGCATGGCTGCCAGTGGCACTGGGTCACTAGTGTTTATTGATGATGTGACACAGGACAGAAGCAGCCCAATGAATTCTGAAGCATTCAGAGCCATACTGTGTGCTCAGATCCAGACAAATGCAGCCAAACTGATTGGTCGTCGTTTCATACTACAGATGGACAATGACCCAAAAACATAAAGCCAAAGCAACCCAGGAGTTTATTAAAGCAAAGAAACTGAATAATCTTGAATGGCCAAGTCAGTCACCTGATCTCAACCCAGCTGAGCATTTCACGTGTTAAAGACTAAACTTCAGACAGAAAGGCCCACAAACAAACAGAAACTGAAAACCGCTGCAGTGAAGACCTGGCAGAGCATTAAAAAGGAGGAAACACAGCGTCTGGTGACGTCCATGAGTTCAAGACTTCAGACAGTCGTTGCCAACAAAGGCTTTTCAACTAAGTACTAGAAATTAACATTTTATTTACAATTATTTAATCTGTCCAATTACTTTTGAGCCTCTGAAATGAAGGGATTGTGTTTAAAAGATGCTTTAGTTCCTCATATTTTATGTGATAATTTTGTTCAACCCACTGAATTAAAGCTGAAAGTCTGAACTTCASCTGCACCTGAAGTGTTTTGTTTATTGTGGTATTGTACAGAACCAAAATTAGGAAAATGTCTCTGTCCAAATAAACATGGATCTAGCTGTACTTCATTTAACTTTTTCTTAGTGACTAAATTCAGCCAAACCTGATTATCAGTTAAACTTCTTGCTCCTCTGTGTTTTGACTTTTTTATGAAACAGTAGTTTTTTTTTTCTCTGCAGGAATCTTTGTCCTTTGCTTTATTTTTCTGAATCTCTATAATGTTCAGCTTTTGTAACAGAACTAGAAAGAAAATTGGATGAAAAATAGTTTTATTGTGTAAATTCAAAATCAGCATTCACACAATAAAATAAATGTTCAGTACTTACGTAACACATCATCACATCAGATTGGTGGCTTTGACATGTCTGCCTGCTTGTTAATGGWACAGTTTTTGGCATTAAAGTGTGTCATCCTGTTGGTCTTCAGTGCTTCGTCCTCTTTTTCCAGGTGTGTTTAATGCTGAAAGAACAAAGGAGCTGTACAAAGATTTCTTGAGTGTGTTTGATAAGCTCATTCTTCCGACACACGCCTCCTCTCATGTCCAGTACACAGTGTTTTACCTCTGCAGCTTCAAACTGGTCAGTATTCATTACGCTGTGCAATAATACAGTTTCTGCTCATTAATGCTAATTTCCCCTTCACTCAGTTTGATCCACTGTCAGGTCATTAAAATAAAATGACCTCTGCGTTTCTGTTTAGTCTGTAAAAGAAAACCTTATGGTACTTTTCATGAAGGATGCAGCTATTACCTAAAATTCCAACATCACCTTTCTTCTGAAACAGAGGTTCTCAAACTAAGGTCCCTGGACCCCCAGGGATCCGCGAGAAGTATCTTGGGGG